CACTCACTCACTCACTCACTCACTCACTCACTCACTCACTCACTCACTCACTCACTCAGGCTCCCTCTTACGCACTCATTCAAACCCACGCAAACGTACATGCAGTTCCTACTCGTATGCGTGTCCACACTAACAGACACACGCACTAGACTAGATCTACAGCCTCCTGGTTTTACTACACCTGTAAATTCTGATTCGGCGCTGTTGCACACAGCACTGGTCTTGTCACCGAAACGTGGCGCTGACGGGGACCTGCTCGCTGCTGGGGGGGTTGCTTACCTGGACTGTTGGCTGTGCTCGGTAGGGACTCCTTCGCCTGGGGCCGATCGCAGCTCGACTGACCAGGCTGGCACCTCCACCAACAGCTGGCCGGCTGGCCGCCCCGCTCCGCCTCGGCCCGGCTCGAACCCCCCACAGACCGAGCTGGCGGCCGGCCCCGCCCCGCCGCGCCCCGCCCCACCGGGAGTGAAAGTGGTCCCCGGGATGAAGCCCCCTCCACTGCCCTCTGCAGGTGAACCCATTTGTTGCACTGACCTTCGTCACCTGCTGATGTATATCGGCCTAAAGTAAATGTAAACAAAAGATTAGAGAAGCAAAGGCAAAACGTGTATTTTCACAGGGTCCTTTCCAGTACTCATTTTCTTATTCATCTCCTGAGGAGGTGGCCCTGGCCGAGGATTGAATAGACCGTAATGCAAAATGATGTCGCGCTAACGTTGTTGAATGCACAAACGTTGCTCCATTTGTTTTTATCTCTTGTGTCTTTGCTTAGAGACCTAGACGCGTGGGCGGCTGTGTGTTCCGGAGGAAAAGAAGAGAAAATATCCTGCGGCCGGCTTGTGTTGTGTACGGGGGCACGTTGAGGACGCAGGGCGTGCTCCGGCGGCGCGAGTGCAGAGCGCGCGAGAAAGGCGGAAACTGGCAAACCGATAAGTAGAAAACCGCGGTGATACGATCGGAGTAAGCGCCATCTCGAGCACGTAAGAGAGCCGCTGTACGTCGAACTTACATACGATACACGGTACGTAATTAAGATGTTTGTCAAAGAGGGTGGGGCTACAGTTGAGCGTCCTCCGAATCTGCACATGCACCTCTCGCCATTCTCTGAGCTCGCAACGAAAAACTTGTTCAAAAGGAAACGCCCTTCCACCTTTCCACCTTGCCCCCCCCCCCCTTCCTCCTCTCCTTTCGCTACCCTCACCACACCTCTCCCATATCATATACCGCCCGATGGAAGAGGCTGGCCTGCCAAAGTGACATAACACCGCCCCACCACGACTTCTGGCGGAACGCGCCGCCGCGCCGGTGAGGCAACGGCCGGGCGGGCACACCGGTAGTCCGTTACGCCCCACCACCGCACCGGAGCCTGGGTGCGGCTCGGGGCCTTACGGCTGCGGCTCAAGGCCACGGTGATGGGCCTCCCCCACGGCGGGCGCTGCGGTGGCCCGGCTCTGGGCGGGGCGCGGGGCGCGGAGCACCGACGTGTCGGCTGACACGCGGCGTCTGGGCCTGTATGGACTCATCCTGCGGTCAACGACCAGCTCTACAGCTCACGGCTCGCCCCGCCCCCACCTACGCGTCCAGTATATAGGTCAACGAGTATAAAGCAGTTGTAAGATTGCTGTGTAAATATGAACAAAAAAACTCAGAAGAGCCACATTTGCTGAACAGTGGCTACTATACAGTGGCTAGGATACTATCACCTATATCAATTGCAAATTATTCGGGCCTGAGTTTTCTTGCGTTTTTACTTTTGCATTACAAAATAAAGGATAAGAGTTACTCAAAATTAGAGAAAATATCCGAAAATACCCTTCAAAAACTAAAAAAGAGTACGCTGATAAATAAATTACTCAGCGAGCCCGTCAACACTTTAAAGTGTTTAACTGCTGGTTGTGTACTTTTAAGTGTCCAACTGCACTATTAATTACACTTTCATCAACTGGTCGCACTGATACGAAATAAATTTTCACCTTCGCGCTACTGTCACATCTGCAAGATTACCTGAATATGTGGTCGAGTGAATCTGTGAAGTCATCCGTATAGTCCAGTTCATGGCAGTCCAGATGACACCCCTTTGCGCAAGATGACGCTAAACCTAGCGGTACTCCCGTGCGACGACCTGTCTCGAGGTCAAGGCCGGCCCAAACCAGCCGCCCCTCACACTACTCCAGCTCAGCCCACGCACCCGCGCGGCAAAAGACACGGGGGGGAGGGGGAGGGGGGGACGAAGACGAGTACGTGGTCGAGAAAGAACGTATTTGCACAATGTTGATCGGGTCAAGCTGTGCTATTACGAAAACAAAACCGGCATTAGAAAGTTACAAATTTAAAAGATTAAAATCATAATTTTAAGTCGTCGCGTAGGACGAAATTTTCCAGAACACAATTACGAAAAATGACGCAAAGTTACGACTTAAGGGTTCAATGGAAAATGTTCACGAGATTAATCCTCAGCACGACATTTCTGGTAACATCACAAAATTCCTCGTAAATTTACAAGATTTCTGTAAATTTACAAGATCGGACAAAAATTAAACAAACTGTCAAAAATTTACGAAAAATATCAGTCCCTTTTGATTTTAAACTCGTGTGGTAAACTTTCCTTGATTTATGACGCGCCTTAAAAAGGTGCTGACCACTCCTGTAAACTTATTGCGACGAAGAGGTTCAGAATTTTACGACGTTCTTATATGTAGTGGTCCAATTACAATATTCCGAGCAATATTTAAGTTTTAGACCAGTTACAAAATTTGGCCATGAACTGACAACTTTTTAATCACTGTGAGGCTTTTGCTCTTCGAGAGACGATTCCATTCAGTATTCGTATAGTTCAGTCTCCCGTTTTATCGTTTCGCCCGCCGCCGACTCCTAACCCAGCGCACTCTAGCGGCAGCTGTCGCACCTGCAGCTGCACTTCCTCTAGACGCCTGGCGCCATCTAGCGACGCTCGCGATAACTCGGCGAACGGCACACAAGTCTTGCGCAACGCCGGCTGTCGCGTCGCAAAACTGCCGGCTCTGCCGCCGCGTCTCTCATGCTACCATAGCCCACCGCCACAACTACCACCGCTCACCGCCCTCTGCGCGATGCGTGAGAGGCCCATTCGATGGTATTATCATTTCTCCCTCTGCCCCAACAGCGGCAGGTGGAGGTCCGAAGGGCGGGTCGGGGCGCGGTTCCCACAGTTGTAAGGATTTATCTCTGGGCCGACCGAGGGGCTGGGCGCGCAGGGAGGCCCTGCAGGCGGGGAGGCAGGGCGGTGCTGCCTCGCTCACGATAAAGCACACAACGGCTCCACTTTCGCTGGCTCTCCTATACAACCTTTAGCTCTCTTTCCACTCGGCGGCGAGCGGCCAGCGAGGAGTGGTGGTCCATCGTAAAACGGGAGCCTGAATAAGTGTTGTGATGCGCGCCCACGTCCCCTATTGTTTCCAACCCTTACAGTCTCCGGGGAGATCAGCTGGACTGGACCACGGAACCAGGTCAAGACCGGCGTGGGAAGGAAGCTGTCGGTCAAATGTGAGTCGGATGTAGCGGCAAGAGTGGCGCATCTGCTGCAGCAGCGCACCTCCGATAAGCCTTCACTGCTCTCTTCCCACGGTAAAACACTTAAGGTGTTCTGAAAGACAGTTGAGACACTTATCTCAAATGAAGTGGGAAAGGCTTTAATAGAGGAACGCGGTTTTAGAAGTACGTTTGACTTTCATTTATTTTTCATTGAAAATCGTACAAAAATACACCAAATTCCTATTAAATAATACGTCTAAGCCTATGGGATCGGAAAAGGAAGTGGACGCTACATATGTTCACAATTAGCGCTCATCACAGTAATGGTAACTATGGGCAGGCCAGTTGCTTGCTTAGCTTAACTTAATTGTATTAAGCTCATGCCATTGCAAACAGAATAACATCTACACAAGAAGACAGTCGATACACTCTCGTAGAAAAGCTGGAATCTAGGGTGGGAAGTTCCTTTAGACGTGTACAGGCTGCCGGACTAGAAGCACGGCGAGAATTATCTCACCGTGACGTAGATCGTACTTGTTCAGGCACTGAAGAGCCTAAATACTACATAAAAAGTTTAGACTAGCAATCACTCACTTACTTTCTAACACAGTTCGTACACCGTTTGCTAAGGATGTTCCGCCGAAAGGAAGTGACTGCACAAACCAATCGTTGGAAACAGTAGACGAGATCACAGATAAACGTGGAGTGACTCCGTTTTCCTCCCAAATTTATCAGCAGGACCATTACAATTTCATTCATTAACGCGGCAGAAAACTTACCTCCAAACAAAAATAATGTTGGCTAAATTTTTGGTTCAAAAGTAACAACGTTCTATCGTTAATAAACGAGAATGGACAACATCAGAAAAATATTTGAAGGTTCAAAACTATTCCTTGGTTTGCGTTGGACGCCAACAAGAAAACAACTACTTTGCGTTACTATCCATGTGCCGGAGCCATTTTGTTTTAGCTAATGTGTAAAAGTCAAACCGAACAGACCGAAATCAAAATATACAGCGTCTACAAATTTTCAATTATTTTAAAAGAACTGACAAATATACATGTGAATTATACTTACAGCTTTAACTGACTTCAAAAATGCAATGTTCAGGTGTTGTTTATTTGAACATGTTTCTATACGGACGTCCAAGTTTCGGAGGTAATGTTCAAATTTATGGTTGTGCTAATCACAATGTGGTAGCGATACTAGTTACCGCGACCCGGTCGTCTCGACACAGTCACACAAAAATATTTCGGTGGTTTGCCAAATCGTTAACAATATTTTGTAACGGTTTGAGCAGCGTTAAAACAAATCCCTAATCACGTTCCGCAGTCAAGCTGTAATTATCATTCCTTATGATTTAACATGGGAGTTTGGCCACAAAGAGACCATACCACACTCATCCCAAGGAAAAAATATCATCCGAGTAAATCAAGCTCTGGTCAACGCACACGAACTTTTTTCATCATGGAAAGCACCTGTGCCCCAGGAAAGGGACAGGCTGGGTAAAAGTTGTGACACCCCGTGCCATCGACGCCCGCAATCAGCTGACCCATGTGCGCCGCGAAGTGATACTTGGAGGTCACCTCAGCGGTGGCGCTTATGCTCGTCTCTCTGAAGCCAAAAAGATACATACATTCATAAAAGTGAGCCACTTTGCGGTAGGATCCAAAGCACGCAAAAAACAAAGTGGGTCCACATAAAAAAAAATGCTGTTCATTTCTTTGTTTTAAATGGCTGACTGAGCAAAAAAAAAAAAAATCTATATCCTCCCTTGCCTCCCTTGAAAAGTTATTTTCCCGTACTCTAGTCGCAAAATGTTTGATTAGGCAAAATTTTGTTTGCTTTACATCTAGCAATTTGTATGCAGATGAAATAAACAGTTTGATATCAAAGCTAACAAACCCAGTGAGAAATAAAATATCGATAAATGGTCGATAGTCATCGATTGAGGCAAAAAGTTGACTCGATATCGATTCGATTTTGTCCCGCAAATCTAAGAATTGCCGATTTGAAACTCCATTCGTCACTGGAAGAGAAATCTTAAATTTTTAGCCTTTTGAAGCAAACGCTTTGTTATTGTGAAATTACTTAGAGGTGGAAGGTATAAAACGAATTATAAAAGAACAATCACCGGATAAGTGCGAGGAGAGAGCGCTCTGACTCGCCCAGGTTCTGCCGATGTGGTGCAGCGTGTAGCTCGCAGATGAGCTTCGGCAGGCACGACGTGCGCATGGTCGCCAAGAGACGAGAGCGACCAGCGGCGGCTGGAGACAGGCGTGAACGTGAACAGGCATGAGATACAAGGACATATCAGAGTACAATGACAAGGAAATCGTGTTGAAATGACTATCATCGGTTAGTGCGCATGGGCCATAGCACCATATAGAATAATTAAACATTAGATGCTGCACATACCCTTTACGCAATGATATATATTTCAAGAAATGACCCCGCTGTAATAAAAACAATAAGAAATATTCCTCTTTAAATATCCAGTCAAACATTTACAAGCAAGCAAACGCAGTGTTTAGTATTACTTGCATTTGATCGCCAATGGCACACTACATCATAAAGTGAATGTCCCTTTTTCGTGTGTTTCGTCACCATCAATGAATAAGAAGAGCACAGTACAAAACAATGACACTTCTCAAAGTTCAAACCGCTCTTAATTGTGATTTTACAAACGGACAGCGCACGGCTGTTATCGTTTTAGTGGACCAACATGTACGGAGTACAATAATATCCCAAGACAAGAGATAGCTGCAGCCTGCTGCTTCGGAGCCCTGTCGCCGCAGGTGTTTCTGCAATTGCTACCGAAGGTCAGAGTGGCAGCAGTCCAGCCCAAGGCCAGCAGAACAGCGTGCTGCTGCACCGCCTCATCTCAACGTCGTAATTGTCCCTTGCAGCAACGAAAAGCCTCATCCAAACAGCTGAGATCTTCCCCAAGTTAAAAAAAAATAACAATATTTACATTAAAATATATGGTTATCGAACGTAGAGACTTGATTGCATATTGCTGGATCGCCGTATGGGCGTTTTACAGAGTAAAGAGTCAGACCCATGTACAGCTGGGTGTGCAATGAGCTCATCAGCACTGGGGTGTAAACCGTAGAAGAAGGTTACAGACTTTTTCGTCGCCATACAATATTCACTAGCTCGATGCGAATATGGCTCAAATACATTCGCAACAATATGGCGTTCTCGTGCGACAGTGCACCAGAGCTGGCTCCGCGCCCGCAGCCCAAACAAGATAAAAGCTTCCGGTTATACTCACTGAACAGTTTAGCAGTGGCCCCACCGCCCAGGTCGAAGACATCTTCGACATCCTCGCCGTCCTCGTCATCCTCGTTGTCGCCGTCCTCGAGTGAGTTCTCGGCTCGAACCAAGTCGGCCCGACGTAGCGGCCCAAGGTTACCCGGGGCCGTCGGCGTCCTCCTGGGGTCCTGGCTGGGTGGCGAGGGGGCGACCACCGTGCCGCCGAGGGCGGTGAACACCGAGGACACGAGGGATGAGTAGTCGGCCGAGAGCAGGACGAACAGCATCAGCAGCAGGGCCGCCCGGAGGGCGAGGCGCTCCATGTCACCGAACTGGCGCCATCCACGGCCTGGGGCAGAGAACTAGGTCAGGCGCAACACTTCCGCGACGGCCTGTCCTGACTGATTACGTTAAACGGCGTCAAAGCGACCCGACACAGCGGAAAGCCACACGCCGCACAGACGCACATGCACACACGGGGTGCATCCACTTCACGCACGCGTCCTGTACTGTAAGATTGAGAGGTCCAGCTCGGCTCGTCTGTTGCCGGCCACCACTGGGGGCCCCACACCGGTCCACTCGTCGCCAGCGGCAGCGGGCTACGCCGCTATGGCCTCGCGGGCGTAACCTTGTGGCTAGCCTATACCCGTCTATAACCGCTGCTGGCCAATAACTGCGGAATTTCTGTTCCAGATGGTTTGGACGGTGGATTTCTTTTAGAGGGCACACATAGACGCGGCATGGCGAGTTGTTCTTAACACACACCTACCGGTGAGAGAAAATACTCGAAATTTGCTTCGGAGGTCTCAGCCAATGGTTCAGAGTAAAACATACCGAAAAAAGATTGCAGGTATGTAAAATTAAAAAAAAAAAAAAAAAAAAATTCACACGTCGGCCTGGTCGCAGTGGTCAGAGCCTGTTGCCCACAGTATATGGCGCATGACGCAACGCGTTCTCAACACACATGCACACACATACACAAAACAGCGCGCTCACACACACACACACACCGCTGTGCGCAGCCAAAGTCTTCGGAGCTCATTATCTGGGACGGTGCAAAATCCCCTTACAGCCATAACCTTTCGTCTTTAAAAAGCTCTAACGTTTCAAACTTTCTGTCACCACGAGAAAAGCAGAGCTCTGCAGGTGAAGTCGACTGGAGCTGACAGAGTCGCGGCCAGCTGCCAGCTGTTGGCGACCTAACCTCACCTACCAGCGCTCCGCTCGGCAGCACGCCATGACCATCACACACTACAAGCACACACCACTGGCCTCCACAAGGCTTCTTCGGCGACTGCGGCGCCACGACTAAACGCGACGAGTTGAACACAACTACTGCATTCGAACACGTTCACTCTCACTACTCACTCGCGCTAAGGTGTCCCCGGGGAGGCTCCGGCCCGACTGCTCACGTTCTGCCTCGCTGCTGAGCTTCCCCCTCCCCCCTCTCTCCCACCTCTGCTAAATTCAGCAGCGTTGCCCCCCACCCCCTCACTCTCCCTCCCGTTCCCCTTGGCCTACTTCACTCTCCCTCTCACTCTCTCCCTCCTTCCTCGCCTCCTGGAGGTAGTGAAAGTGGCGGCTGCCTCCTCCTTTTTCCCCCTCTCTCCTTAGGGCCTAATGTAAGACAAGGCTGTGCTCGCTCCTGCGTTTAAGTTCCTGCATGCATTTGAAAAGAAGTTAAAACTTGTTATTCATAGTGTACATCCTGTGTTTTTTATGCCGTAAAAAATTAAAGCTGCAGCCCACAAGGAAGATCTTTCAGGTGCAAAATAAAGCAAATGTGTATGTGAGAAAATGTAAGCAAAGTACTGGGTGGCGGTGAGCTATGACGTGCTTTTTTCTCGATATTCTGTACATGTGCAAGCATGTGTGTGGGCAGGCTTGCCTACCGACTCTCACCACGGCGCCGTTTGGGTATGGGTATATAACTCAACCGCACGCTCCTGCACCAGAAAAAATACGGCTTCAAACACCCACCAAGTAATGCTACGATTAAACTTAACTCCCAACTTTAACAAAGTTTCTAGCCGGCACTTACAATATGCAAGTAGTAGGCGACCAGCATAGAAAGAGCTTCCTAAATTTGCGCCTAAGTTGCCACAATTCTTTTTAGAATCTTGATATTATAACGACATTTCCGAATATTCCAGCTTACAAAGAAGTTCGTCACCTACCTGCAAATAGTTCATACAATCGACGTACCCTACTTCACCACTCAGTTGACAATACCTGCTCCTAGTGCTCCTGCTCAGCGGAGCCTACTCGCCGATAGTCATCCACTGTTCAAAATTACAACAGTAAAATAACTACGGAATGGTCTCGTAATTTTTATAAAGTGCGATTCTGTAGGCTGGACTGTACCTTTTACTGGAGGGAATTAAGTTCTTTGCAAGCAAAATCAAGTCTTTGTTCCTCAAATACCAGTCGAACAAATTTTGACCGTACTATGAATTTACAGGACGGTCTATTCTGTTTCTGGGTACAAAATTTTTAACAGGTAACTTGTCATTATAACTAACTCAACTCGTCCCTCATTTCATTTGTTTTAATTTTTAAAAGCGTTCTGGCTAGAGTCTGGGCGATCTCGTAACAGCATTTACTTTTTTGAAGTCTACTCGCGGAAGTCAGTTTTGCCTCTTTTTATTTTATCCGTCAAAAAATTGGACACTGATTGGGGCTTGCAGGAACCATATTTTTTTAAACGGATAGTGAGTTAACCAAGTTGTCTGCTAAACACAGTTTTCCTACCTAAACACAACTGGACTATACTGTAAATCCGGGGTGTCCAACAACTGTGCGACAAAAGGTGCCCGACGCTAAAACCTGTGCAACTTAAGTCGCACAGCTGCTGGACACCTTTTGGTTTGGCTTCCTTTTCCCTGCACAAGGGTCCGGGCCAAGCCTAGGTAGGGTGTCTTGTTGTTGAACACCCCCCGCTTGGGCTCCTCTGCAAGGAAAGGGCGCCAAACTACAAGGCGTCCAGCAGCTGTGCGACTTCAGTTGCACAGGTTTTAGCGTCGGGCACCTTTTGTCACACAGTAGTTGGGCACCCCGGATTTACAGTGTACTCGTTTTGTGTTTCATGTATAGTGCTGTCGCGAAGGCGCATAGCACAGGCGAGTGCTGCACACCTACTACTGTACCTCTGTACCTTGTCAACAGAAGCTGCCAGGCACCGGGAGCGCGAGGGTCGCTCCATCCTGGGCCGGCGCCCCGAGGTGTTTGCGATCTGTCGTCGGCAGCCGATCGCACTAATTCGCGCCGTGTCTTTTGTTTGTGTCGCTACTGCTGTTTGTTTGCGAGACCGCCTGCATCGGAAGGGACCACAACGAGCCCCTTCTCCTCCCTTCCAAAGCTTTCTTGAATATTCATGAAGAGGATCGCCGCTCCTTTTTTTTAGGGGGAGGCTCTATGGAGGTCGCTAACTACTGATCGTTAAACACTTGTCACAACAGCGGCGGCTCATGGCTGCACCCCCTTCCAGCTCGCTTCCAGCGGCCACACCCCTCTACCTATGGAGCCGCTCAAAGCTGCGAAACGCAAACACAGCCAGCAGATGACATGGAGTGTCGTCCGCACCGCTAATGTCCCCGAGTGGATGTATAATCAAACAAAACTTCAAACGGGCCGAGCGGCGCGGCGGTTTCAAAAACAGGCGCACATGATGAAACACAGAGCGGGAAATAATATCGACGGAAAGGCTCAATTTGTCGCGCAGGCACATTATAAAATCGTCGTCTGAAAACGTCTATCGTCAAATTAGCATCGCCGCACCGGCGGGCAGGAAGCGACTGTCCATCTTGATAGCGTCACCTCTGCTCTTTTAACGAGCTCGTGATATGCACTAAACACCCCACACCCAACCCCCTCTGCCTCTTATCTCGTGCGCACAGTCGATCACGATCGGACCCTCGCCAGACCGCGGACCTCCATGATGGACAACTAAGACTACTTGAGCGCGAATCAAAAACACTCCAATTGGCGACGCTCAGCCGCTGTCGGAGGTGACGGCTTTTGGTGGATAGCGTTTATTCCCGAGATGTTTGAACAACTTACTCTGGCCATGTTGTGTCAGGTGTCCTCGTGGTCATTAGGACGACACGGTATCGTGCGGACGCAGATAAGCACGGGGTCACGAAGAAGCTCAAGTGGCTTATGAATTATGCAGCCCGAGGCTCGCATGCGATGGAGCAGCTGACGGGTTCACAGAGGTGCGAGCGTAGGGGGCCCGCCACGCCCCGCCACGCCCCGCCACGCCCCGCCACGCCCCGCCACGCCCCCGCTGCAGGGCCGCGCATCACCCGCAGGAGCTGGGCGCGGAGGGGCGGGGCAGAAAGGGGTGGGGCAGTGAAGCCCGAGCCGAGCAGCAGCAGCGGCACGGATCTGTAATATTTGTGTTAGGATTATTTGTGGACAGCAAGAGTGAGAAGGCATTGCAGCGCCAGAACCGCGAGACCTGAGTAAAACATTAACACGTTTCCGGTAAATGTGCGACGCAATGCATTTGCACACTTTATTTCATCGATGTCCATTTTCTGAGGACATAGGCAGTAGGTTTCCAGCTGTTCCACGCAACGGTGCGACCTCCCGCCCCTTCCCGCCCCTGTCCCCCTGATCGAGCTGTAATTATGACTAATGCAGATGTAAAAGTACTAAACGCTATCGCTGGTGCGCGCGCGCTGCTCGCATTAAGGGGTTGGGCTCGTTGGCTGGTCACGCCCACACAAATGTCGCGGTCGCACGCTTCACAGGACAGATTCCTCCAGGCCATATACCACATGCGGGTGCAGTGCATCCGCCTAGAAAAAAAAAATGAACGTATATATATATATGCACCACAAACCGAAGCATCAAAGTGACCATCACATCCTTATATGATTCTAGTGGTACCGTGTCAACAAATTAAAACAAAATGTTACCCAAGTCTATACATAACACTAGCTTTGTTTCGCACTTTTGTGACAATCGCTCTCGGCAAACCACTCCTGTC